ATTAAAAATGAGTTATATTTCCAATGAAATGAAAAGAAGAAAGTGTGTCAGGTGTGTGACAGTAGTGTGAAGAAGATTTCAAGGAGGAAATAAGGTGAACAACAAAGGGAGTTTTAATAGATGTTTCAGAAACAGGTAGCACAGACTGATTGCGATGAAGCTCTTTGAGACAACTGAGGAACGGTTTGATCGATATAGTAAGAGAGCACTGTTATTGGAAGGTTTTAACAGGAGTGGTGCGAAATGGTGGACTAGCCTGCTGGTGAGTTGGAGGGGACCCAATAAAAAGATTATTGGAATAATTCAAATGAAGATTATCAAAGCTTAGACTAAAATATTTGTGATAAGGATAAAGAAGAAGCTGATAGAAAAATGTATTTGGGTGGAAATCACAGTATATATCAGCTGATTCCTTATTTGAGTTGAAGAATGATGAAAAGTGATTAACTTAACTTTAGAGGAGAGATGGCATTGGCCACGGTAGTGGGAAAGTTGATACAAAAGAATTAGGGAGTTAAGGAGTGCTCCGTTTTGATGGGTGCCCAACTAGCAAAAAAAGATTAACCTTACAAAAGGGTTTATCATCATTTTTAAAATACAGTAAATATTTAGTGCTATAGTCCACCTATAAATAGTCTTAAGAGTTATCAAAAATATACCTGTTACAAAACAGTGGTGAGACAAATGAAAAGTCCAAGGTTGGAATATTGAAAGCAACCAAGGAAGTTAGCATAATGTAGAAAACATTATAGGGATATTTAGAGAGAGAACCTAGGTAGACACTAAACCTTGGGAGCCTAGTTCAGAAACAGTATTGAGTAGTTATTAGTAAGAATATACAATACCAAGCAAAAGAGTATTCAGAGAGTGGGGTCAAGCTTTGGGGCTTGTCAGTGAATCTTCATTTGCTTTAAGACAAAACAGCGTCAAGGTAGTAAGGTGACAAAGCGCCCTTTATCTTTACTGTTTCATCTTGTTATTCTTTTTTTTTTTTTTTTTCTTGAGACAGAGTCTCACTGTGTTGCCCGGGCTAGAGTGCCGTGGTGTCATCCTAGCTCACAGCAACCTCAAACTCCTGGGCTCAAGCAATCCTTCTGCCTCAGCCTCCGAGTAGCTGGGACTACAGGCATGCGCCACCATGCCCGGCTAATTTTTTCTATATATTTTTAGTTGTCCAACTAATTTCTTTCTAATTTATAGTAGAGACGGGGTCTCGCTCTTGCTCAGGCTGGTTTCGAACTCCTGAGCTCAAACAATCCTCCTGCCTCGGCCTCCCAGAGAGCTAGGATTACAGGCGTGAGCCACCGCGCCCGGCCATCATCTTGTTATTCTTTAATCCTTTCCCCCTAGTCTCCCCACATAAACACTCCAAGGGCATTTTTCCAATTTGATCTCTTTCAGTCTTCATTGTACTTGATCACTAATCTACAGTTGATTCTGTTCACTGCTGTCTCCTAAAAACCCTCTTTGCTTGACTTTGACTCTGCAGGTTTCTGGTTTTCCTATTATTAACGACATTTATATAACATACTGTGTATCACTGTTGTCAGTGTTCTACATACATTTTAATTCCTTAATAATCCCATCATAAAGGTAGGTAGTTTTATTACTGCCACTTTACAGGTGTGGAAACTGAAGGGCAGAGAGGTTAAACAGCTTGCCCCAGATCAGACAGCTAGAAGGTGTCAGAGCTGTGCTGCAAACCCAGATATCCATGCTTTTAACCACCGTCCTGTATTGCCTCCCTGGCTACTCTTTCTTAATCTTTTTTGTGGATTTCTCTTTCAACATTCTCCTCAAATGTTGGCATTCCTCTGGGCTCTTGTCACCTTTTTCTCCTGATCTTTTTCTAGTAAATCTGTCTATTCTGTGACTTCATTTTTGCTGATAATCCACAAATCTGTATCTCTACCCAAGATCATACTTCTTAGTTTCAGACATATCTACAACTGCCTACTGAACGTCTTCCACTGTGTATCTCAAGTACCTCAAAGCCAACATGTCTGACATCTGCATTTATCCTCTTCTCGATCTCTACAGTGTTCCATGTCTCAGTGAATGGTATGATTATCCATGGAGTTGACCTAACCAGAAATCTAACTTTCATCCTAGATGCAGTTAAGCCGTCTGATGTCAGTCGGGTGGTACATGATTAGGAAGGGCTTTAATTAAAGCATTAATGGAAGTGATGAATGGGACTAATAAAAGTGGTGGGAAAGTCTGACTGATTGGTGACCTGAGAAACACTCCCCTCTTCTCCCATCAAAATGACATAGGATATACAGACAAGTATGTCCTACCATGGATAGGATATGCAAACACGTTGAAGAATATATAATATAAATTGGGAAAGCTTATAAAAATGAAGGTAATTGAATAATGTATTTACATTGAGAAGTTTGGGGAAAAAATAGCTTCAGAAGACAAGTTGGGGATAAATTGTCATATTTTATTAGAAAGGATATGTTTTTCCACGCATTTTAATATCTTTGAAATTGAATGGTGGCATCTTCAATATATTTGGTTGCGTTTTGTTCTCTTAGAGATACATAAAATAATGCTGTATCTCAGAGTCGATGGCATCTTAGTTTTGATAAAATATGGTTGTTTTAGTTGGGTAAGTTAACATTTGCCTATGTTCTGGTTGTCAAATTGGAATAAAGAACATAAGTATCTGTAATCCTTCCTTTACAAATTGTTTACAAGCAGCAGAACTGTAGTATTTGTGTGTGATGCACGAAAGGAAACAGCGAAGGATCCTAGAATCTATTATACTTAAATGGCCAGCATTAGTGTTACTAATATATGGGTGATAATAAAAAGTAGTTGGTGATTTCCTAAGATTGGCAGATCAAAAAGTGCTTGTAGACTTCTCATCTACAAATAAAATTAAAATCTCTCTGGATGTGGTAGCTTTATCAAACTAATAATTAAGCTCAACTTTTTTTTTCTTCATAAGTAACTGAGATGAATGAGTGTTGCTCTATTTTAATTTAGAATTCAGTTGAATGTTGCTTTTTTTTCCCCCCCACAGGTAGCAGATATCAAGAGGGTTAACAATCTCATCAGCGATCAAGACTTTTTTGCCCTTAGGTCTATCAAAATTCCAGTAAAAAAGTTTAGTTCCTTGACTGAAACACTTTGTCCTCCAAAAGGAAGACAGGCTTCACGTCATTCATCTGTTCAGTACTCTACAGAACAACAGGAAATTTTGTCAGCTAATGATTCTCTTTCTTCCACGGAGTCAGCTGGTAGCTTTTTAAAAGAAGTAGACCGAGACATAGAACAAATAGTAAAGTGTACAGACAACAAGAGAGAGAACCTTAACGAGGTAGTGTCGGCTTTAACAGCACAACAAATACGTTTTGAACCAGATAACAAAAGCACTCAACGTAAGGATCCCTATTATGGAGCAGACTGGGGAATAGGGTGGTGGACAGCTGTAGTGATAATGTTGATAGTAGGTATAATAACGCCAGTGTTTTATTTGCTGTACTATGAAATTTTAGCTAGGGTAGATGTTAGTCACCATTCAACAGTGGACTCTTCACATTTGCATTCAGGAATCACACCCCCATCACAGCAGAGAGAAGTGGAAAATGGAATTGCTCCAACTAAAGGGATACACTTTGGCCAACAAGATGATCATAAACTATATAGTCAAGATTCTCAGTCACCTGCTGCTCAACACAAAACATAGCAATTAACTCATGGTAACTGTTAGTGATCACGTGTGTATCTGGAATGTGGTGAATCAATTATATTCAATAACCACTTCAAAGGCAGAATTTAGGGAATTGAAGATGCTTTTGTTTTTCACCTTTTGAAAAATTTTTGAACCATTTACTAGTGGATTGTGTATAAAATCTCTACAGTTCTGGTTGTTGATGTTGAGAGCAGTCATTCCATAAATCTGATGTATCAGTGCTTAAAGCAGAAATGAATTTAAATGTGTGCTTAGGAAGTTTTAGAAGATGTGTCATTTTTCTTACTCAAGACTAGTTATGTTTAAATTTTTATTTTTTTAAGTATTTTTAGTTTAAGGTTATTAATGTTAAATTTATGAAGCAGAATAATGATAGCATCAGATGTCTGCAACTGAAAAAAATTTACTGCTGTGAACCACCAAAATATTTAGTTGCAAAAAAATTTGATTCTAAAATTATTTACGATAGCACATACTTAACACACCATTTTGAAACTTTAAAAACATGCATAGCACATGCTATGAAAGCGTAAGTAGAAACAGAAATTGGAACATAATGTATAATTTCTTTAACAAGCTAAGAAACAGATTGTTTTAAGCCCCCAAAATAATGTGTTATGGTTGGGAAGTTGCCATCTAGTCATTAGAACACTGGAATAGGTCAAGACCTAAAGGTAATTTTTGTCTCTTAAAGAGTGCTTTAAGATAGAGCCTTTTTTAACCTCACCTCTGCTTCTGTTTTTAAAGCTATCATATTTGCCTCTGATATTTGAAAGCACTTTTGTAGTTTGATAAAAAGTGTTATACATGTACAGATTAGCATTATTTAAGAAATAATTCCTTATATACTGTGATAAATCCTTGCTGTGTTACATACAGTAACATGCCTTAATTACATTCAATGCCTTATATTAATTTTTGTAAGTAAATAGAAGTTTTGAAATTAAAATTCTACATTTCAGTTGGCCCAATCGGATTTATTACATAGGCTATATAAATTCATCTTCACTGTCAAGCAAAAGTTAATTGGTTCAAAACAAATCTTCATTGTCTGCTT